GAAGGGTCTAGGCCCGAAACGTCAGCCTTCCTGCTCCTCTGATGCTGCTTGGCCTGCTGTGTTCATCCAGCTCTACACCTTGTTATCTCAGATTCTCCAGCATCTGCAGTTCCTACTATCTCTGATTAAATTGTGTTTAGACTGAATTATCACTAACCAAATGTTGCAGTGTTTTGGCCATGTATCACAGGAAGTTTCACTCTTGGTCCAATGAGCTTGAGCCATTTGTAAAGCGGCAACAACAGTGGGCTACATTTATATAACGCCTTGGATGCTCAGTAAAGCATTCCAGGCTGCCTCATAGGAAATGACTGTTCAGAATCTTGAATTTCTTTCGTTTCTTTCAAGGTGTGATCACTTTGAAGTTGCCATCACTAAAACGAAGAGGAGGAGGAACAGATGTGGGAATAAAGGAGCGGATTTGGCTGACAGTGCATTGGTCTCGAACCTGTCCCACCCAATTGTTCTCCAGTTGTTTTGGGTAAGAAATTCAGACCAGCTGATTTGACAATCTGATGTACAAAGGTTTATGACACGGCAACATACTGAAATGATGCCTGGATGAGAAGAGATTATATTGTTATGGCAGGTTGACAGTTCAAAGATTGACCAATGTTCTCACTGCGGTTACCCCATTCCCCTCTCACCCTGTGCTCACTGACTGACTGGCTGTGGGTCAAACAGCATCTTGATCTTAAAATTCTCATCTTTGCTTTCAAATCCCTCCCATGGCCTCACCCTAACCCAATCTCTAATCTCCTCCAGCTCCACAAATAACCCTGAGATTTCTGGCATCTGCATTCCCAATTTATAATTGCTGCAATATTTCTAGCTGTATCTGCAGCTGCCTGGGTCCCAAGCTCAGCTGCCCTGGCAAAACTGGAATTAATGGGTACTGGAGGGGGTGGGGGGCATGGGGGCACACTCTCCACTCATTAGAGTCATACCTGGCACGAAGGAAGGTGATTGAGGTTGTTTTTTGTTGGGGGGTGGGGAATGGGGTCGGTCATTTCAGCTCCAGGACATCTCTGCAGGAGTTGCTCAGGTAGTGTCCTAAGCCCAACCATTGTCAGCTGCTTCAGTGACCTACCCTCAATCATAGGCGGCACGGTGGCTCAGTGGTTAACACTGCTGCCTCACAGTGCCAGGGACCCAGGTTCGATTCCACCCTCGGGCGACTGTCTGTGTGGAGTTTGCACATTCTCCCCGTGTCTGTGTGGGTTTCCTCCAGGTTTCCTCCCACAATCCAAAGATGTGCAGGTTAGGTGGATTGACTGTGGGAAATGCGGAGTTACAGGGATGGGGTGGGTCTGGGTGGGATGCTTTTTGGAAGGTTGGTGTGGACTCTGGGCCAAATGGCCTCTTTCCATACTTTAGGGTTTTGTATTTCAAGGTCAAAAGTGGGGATGTTTGCTGATAATTACATAATGTTCAGCATTATTTGTGACTCCTCAGATACTGAAGCAGTCCATGTTCAAATGCAACAAAATCTGGACAATATCCAGGCCTGGGCTGACAAGTGGCAAGTAACTCTCGTGCCACATAAATGCCAAGAAATTACCATCTTCAATAAAAGACAATCTAATCACCACCCCCTGATGTTCAATTTTGTTACCATCGATGGGTCCCCACTATCAGCATCCATGAGGAGGTTACCATTGACCCACAAACTCAGCTGGACTCATCACATTAACAGAGTGGCTATAAAAGCAGGCCAGAAGCTGGGAATGCTGCAGCGAGTAACTCACCTCCTGACTCCCCAAAACCTGTCCACCATCTACAAGGCACAAGCCAGGAGTGTGATGGAATACTCCCCACTTTCCTGGATGGGTGCAGCTCCAACAACACTCAAGAAACTTGACACCATCCAGGACAATGCATCCCGCTTGATTAGCACTACACCCACAAGCATCCACTCCCTCCACCACTGACGCTCAGTAGCAGCAGTGTGTACTATCTACAAGATTCACTGCAGAAATTCACCAAAGATCCTCAGACAGCACCTTCCAAACCCACGACCGCTTCCATCTAGAAGGACAAGGGCAGCAGATACAATGGGAACACCACCACCTTCAAGTTCCCCTCCAAGGCACTTACCATCCTGACTTGGAAATATATCACGTTTCGTTCGCTGTCGCTGGGTCAAAATCCTGGAATTCCCTCCCTAATGGAACAACCTACAGCGTGTGGACTGCAGTGGTTCAAAAAGGCAGCTCGCCACCACCTTCTCAAGGGCGGTTAGGGACGGAGAATAAAAATGCTGGCCCAGCCAGCAACGCCCATATTCCACAAGTGAATGAAAAAGAAACTGTCCCTAAACTACTTCACCCTGATCTCCTCCCTTCAGAGACTGCTTTGTCCGAGCTTTGTGTTTTTTTTTTGTTGATTTTAATACTTCCCTGTTGTTTCAGTGTCTCCTTGGTTTATAGTACTGCTGTGAAGCACCTTGTTCCTCTAATTTAAAGGTACTACACAAATATAAGTTGCTGAGATGTTTGTGATGGGATAAGTGGAAATGACTGCTTAAAATTAAATTGGGATCTGGAGATTTAGGAACGAAATGTAATGGGGACTCAAAGCCCTAGAGGTAATTGCATCAGGATTATTGGTCAAGTGACTAGGCTAATGCTTAGAGGCCATGGGTTTGAATCTTGCCACTGCAGTTGGCTGAATTTAAATTTGGTTTCTAAGTGTGGAATATAAAGCTAGTCTGTGACAGGCGTTGAGTTTTGTTTAGAAAAGAACTGTATCAATAATGTTCTTTTAGAGAAGGGAATTTGCTATATTTTCCGGGCCTACATGCGACTCCAGCCCCACAGTAATGTGGTTGACTATTAATTAGCCTCCGAAATGGCTGAGCAAGCCCCTCAGTTTGAGGGCCGTTTCATGGGTTGTGGCTTTGCTGTGAAGTCCAGTGTTTGTTGGAAGAACAAAGAAAAACAGTCTGTGACATGAAAATCTGACATTTAGTGTGTTTTGCAGTCATTGAAGAGTGGTTGGAAAATCTTTATTGGTTGATGGGAAAGAGATGGGGGTGGGGGGTGAGCTTGTTGAGATTTAATGAGGTTTCTACATCATGCTTAAAGTAAAATTTTTGCTTCTGAATTACTAACCATCCTTCCTGCTCCCCATCTCCTAGAGAAGACTGAGGGCTAATTTGATGGAAGTATTGCTCATTATGGAAGGGTTTTACAGGCTAGATGCGAAGACAGTGTTTCCATTTGAGGTCTAACAGAGGGAGGAGAAACCACTTCCACATCCAGCAACCACTACTGAAAACTAAAACTAAAAAATCCTGAGATAACAAGGTGTAGAGCTGGATGAACACAGCAGGCCAAGCAGCATCAGAGGAGCAGGAAAGCTGACGTTTCGGGTCTGGACCCTCCTTTGACCAAAATGAAGGACTGTCAATAGAAAACTTTATTTGCAGAGGTGTTGGAATGTGGACACCACCACCACCACACTGCAGCACCCCCCCCCCCCCCCCCCCCCCCCATCACAAGGAGTGGTTGAAATGAGGCACCATACATAGCTTGCAGAGATAACTGGATGAACACGTGAGGGAAAAAGGAACAGAAGGATGTGTCAACGTGGGAGGAAGCTTGTGAGGAGCTGTATTGCCAGCATTTTCCTGATAGGCCAAATGGCCTGGTTCTTTGCTGTTGACTTGGTGTAACCTGGTGCTGATTGTAAGGGTCCACGTATTTTTGCTTTTAAATTATATGCGAAAACGGAAGTTGGACACTGGTTTTGTAACAGGAGAGTTTAACAAATTGGAAAAAAAAAGTCCAGCGGCATATGTTTTGGAGCATTTGGGTTGTTACATTATTTGAGACATAGCAGCACCAGGCGTCTTTGAGTTAAAGAAAATCTGCCTGATGACAGCTGTTTGTTTGGTCCAGCTATAGTTTGTTACAGACGTTTGAGGGCAGTGCAGCCACAAAGCCAACAAACAAGGAACCTCTCTGCCTCAAATAGAGGGAAAAGAACCTGGAAACTCTGAAAAGTGAGCATTCTAATCCAAGAAAAGACTTGGGACCAACCAATCAGCTACTGAATCGAAGATCCGCCATCTTTATGCGAATAGCATTTTGCCATCATTGCTAAAAGTGCAAGAAACAAACTAAGAGAAACACATTGTGATCTGGACTTTTGATCTACAGGAATTATTTTAATTTAATTGTTTTTTAAAAACACAACACTTGCGTCAAACCGGCTGACTTTCATCTGTCTTATTTCAGATGTGTGTGTGCACTTAGAATTTTAAAGCAGCATAGTTTAAGTTATGTAGTGCATCATTTTTCTGGCATCTGTTAAACAATAATTTTGTTTACAGTAAATAGCTATTTTCTGTTAATGACGAAACAAGGTGTGAAATAATCTTTGTCCTGAAACCAGTTAGTCAGGTAAATTGATCATCTTGGCAGTCTGATTTGAAATAGTCTGGTAACAGCATGTGGAACAGCGAGGCTGCATTTATCAGTGCACCCTTCCCAGATATGTTGTAATATGACTGTCTTTATTTGCAGGGGAGAGCTGCTGCTCTGGGATCTGACCAAGGCGGGGAAGCAGAAGTGGACACTGCTGGGGTCATCATCAGAAGGACAGAACCACAGCAGGATCGTCTTCAACTTGAGTTCGGTCTCCCTCCAGGATAACCGTGAGCTGCTGCTCTCTACCTCGATGGACCGAGATGTGAGTGCTTCACATTGTTTTCGAAACCTGCTCCACTGCCCGTCACTGAGAACGCGGTCACGTCCAGTTGTGTTTTACTGTGAACAAGCATCTCAGCCACTTTTTTTTGCATGTTATTTTAATGCGTGGTCTGGCCCATGCCACATGCCTTGACCATCCTTAGCACTGCACGCCCAGTGCAAGGGTACCAACCGTTTACAGTCGCCATTGGAATCAATAAATGTGCTGAGGGAGGGCACAGATATATAAGTGGGCATATGGTATCATAACTACAGCCGTGACTTGGCCGAAAGTTGGGTAGGATTGGCAGCGCAGCATTTCTGGTTATAGGGTATTCAGATGAGATAGTGACAAACATGGAAGAGGAGAGAATTTTGCAATATTGATCACGAAATCAATTCTATCAGTACAGAAGGACAATGTATCGGAAGAATCATCAAATGAGGCCATTAGGGTACAAGTGAAAAATACAAAAGGAGCAATCACAGTACTGGGTATGTACTATAGGCTGCCAAACAAGTTGGAAGGTGGGGAGAGAGAGAGAATCGAACACATAGTTTAATAAGGAAGAAATCAGGGGCTTTTAACTAGCCAGTTATTAACTGGGTTAGTTTCAGTGTGCGAGGGAGAGAGGGAGTAACATGTTTCAATTGCATTCAGCAGAACTTTGTAGCCAATGCATAGCTCAACAAGGGACGGGACATTTCTGAAACTAATACTTGGAAATGAGCTCGGGAAGGTGCATCAGTAGGGGAGCATTTTGGAGATAGTGACCGTAAATCAGATTTATCAAAAAAGGTAAGGATGGGCTGGGAATGAAAGGTCTAAGCTGGGAAGGTCTAATTTTACCATTTGATATGATTTGATCCCAGTGGATCAGGAGCAGTTGCTTGCAGAAAACAGACTGTGTTGGAGCAACGGGAGGAAGTAGTAAGAGTACCGGACAATTATGTTCTTGTGATGACAAAGGTTGTGATCAAAACCAGAGAATCTGAATGTCAATGGGCATAAAGGTTAAGGCTAAGGAAAAAGAGAAACTTATGGCAGATACAGAGACCTCAATGCCCATGATCTTGTAGAATCCTGTTGTAGAAATTTTTATTTCTGCTTAACTAATAACGAGACTTGACTCCAGCTCCCGTTCGAACCAGTTTATTTTCTTACTTGGTACCAAGGAGAGTGAGTGTCGATCTCCACTGGCACCCGACTCTGCTAATACAGAGTATAACAATCTCATTTATACCATTAACTTCAGAGCAGGGTGTTCCCTTGTGTTTGTTGATTCATTTCATTGTAGGTTTAAAGAAAACAGATGCTGCTCGAGGTAACAGGAATGCTGTTTTACAGATTCCTTAATAATTACTTCTTCAAATGACCTTCGGCATGCAGCTAGCATAGTGAGTGATATACAGTTTGATTGAAGCTCTCGCTTATCAGTAACTAGGCTCCACGGGGATACAAGGGACATCTCTAATTCAGCCTAAAACCTTGGTATAGTGACAATATATCAAAAGATCCTTCTCTAACTCTAGCTAAGATAATATGCACATAGTGATAACACCGTCTGAGTAACTACCTCCCGACTTCTGCTAAGCTCATTAGAATCCCGCATGCTAACTAATTAAAATTCTTTCTCTATGCCATCAGTTTCTCTCAAGGCTGCCTTTTCTGTCTTGGCCTAAGTTCCCATCTACCCTTGCAATGTAATTTCTGTCTTGGCCGAAATTTCCATCTACCCTTGCAATGTAAAATTTTTCTCCCACAAATCCCTACAGTGCAGAAACAGGCCATTCAGCTCATCAAATCCATACTGCTCCCCGCCGCCTTCCTCCAAAGAGCTTCCTACCCAGATACAGACACCCTTCCCCCTCCCCACCCTATTCCTGTAACCCCGCATTCCCCATGGCTAATCTACCTAGCCTGCACATCCCTGGACACTATGGGGCAATTTAGCATGGCCAATCCACCCTAACCTGCACATCTTTGGACTGCGGCAGGCTCCCTAAAGGCGTATAAAAAATACAGAGGGGAATCTTGAAAAGAAAATGAGGAAAGTTCACAAAGTGCATTAGAAAGCATTGCTGGGTAGAACAAAGGAAAAGCCACAGAGTTGGTTTTGTTAATTATGTGAGGAACAAAAGCTTGACCAGGGAAAGAGTAGGGACCGTATTCGTAATGTGTTTGGACCCATTAGATATGTCAGTCCTCAGGGAAGACTTTGCGTTGGAATGGAAATGGATAATGCAGGTTTTGATATCAGGGTGGGGGACTCTGAAATTGTAAGAGAAATTAACGTAGAGAGAGGAGGAGGTACTAGGGCTTTAACAGCTTTACGAGTGAATACTGTGTGGATGAGATGTATCTCAGGACATTGAGGGAGGAGATATCAGGGATCCTGGCAGTAATTTCCAAATCCTATTTGGCGACAGGCAAGGTGCCACAGGACTAGAGGTTTGCAGATGTTGCCCCATTAATTAATAAAGATAGAAAAGGATAGTCCGGAAAATTACAGGCCAATCAGTCTAACGTTGGAGGCAGAGAAGTTATTAGAAAGAATTCTGGGGGACAAATGATTTGGAAAGATGGGGATTAATCAAGGATGGTCAAAATGGATTTGTTAAGGGAAGGTCACATTTGACAAATATGTTTTTTTTATATAAGGCGATAACAAAGAGGGTTGATGAGTGTAATGCATTTGGTGTGGTCTACGTAGACAATAGCAAGGATTTTGACAAGGTCCCTCATGGCAGACTGTTCAATAAAGTAGTATCCCATGGGATCCAAGGCAATGGCATTTTGGATCCAAAACTGGTTGAGAGGCAGGAAGCAAGGGGTGAAGGTGGAAAGACGATCTGTGACAATCAGTCTCTTTCCATTGTGGTTCTGCAGGGCTTGGTACTGGTGCCCTTTCAAGATGCACGTTAGTATTAGAACCTTAATTTAGGGATATGACTTAAGATGTTTGCAAATGGCATGAAAATATGGTAGTGAGGAGGATAACCATTGTTATGACTTGAAGACAGACCGTTAAACCAAATTAGCCTTTCCACCTCTGTGTTCCCACAACACAGTAAAGTTAAACCTGCAAAGACCCTCAAAATTTACCCTAATAGTTCCTAACCAGACTTTTGAATAACAAATCCCATGCTCCGCAAGTAATCAATTCCAGACTTTGTAGCTTAAACAAAAGACTTAGTAATTTATTAACAATATAGTAACGTCAGCAGAGCAAAAGTTAAGCAACAAAGTAATCTAATTAGTCTATGTTTTAAACCGAAACAACCTTTGTTTTCAGCCCCATTCATACAAAAGACAATGAGACAAACAAACACATTTTAAGGGGCAAATGAAAGTAAATAACAAAACTGACCAGATTACTTAAGTGGCTTTCATGATGCGTTATTTTACAGGGATTGACATTGGTTTCTCTTGATTCTCTGAAGATGTCGATCAGGGTCATCTTTATAGTTCACTCGGATGAAAGCAGCAATAGTACATAAAAACTGAAAGAACTGCGGATGCTGTAAATCAGGAACAAAAACAGAAGTTTGCTGGAAAAGCTCAGCAGGTCTGGGAAAGTTCTGTGGAAGGGTCACCAGACCTGAAACGTTAACTCTGATTTCTCTTCACAGATGCTGCCAGACCTGCCGAACTTTTCTGGCAACTTCTGTTTTTGTTGTAGCAATAGTATAACTTAGTTTTCAATTCTCTTCTGCCGCTCATGGGAGGTTAGACAGGGAGCTTTCAGATCTTCATGCTGTAGCATCAACAGTCAGATTCCTTTTCCCACAGAAAACACAAAATTCAGATCAAAATCTGACCTCTCCCTGAGAGACTGACCATCTCCTCCAGAGGTCCTGTTAACCAGTCAGCATCTGCTATCTGCTTGAGCATAAAGTCTCTCCCAGACTTACTGGAACCAATTCCTTTCTAATAACCAATTTCAGCTATCTGTATAAACACAATGTTTTTTCCCCTGTGATGCAGTGTCTGATTATGAATCAACAGATGTTCTCTTCTGGACCTAGTCTTGTGAATAATCAAAAGCTTATTTGGTCGGTTTTTCTTTTCCCACAAGCTGTTACCCACAGTCCAAAAGTCGTCTTTAGCTCACAGTTTCTAGTTCACAGCTGAAAACCAAAATTGCCGAAGGAATAAAATAGAAATAATGAAAAGTCAGCACAGGCTTTAACACAGTAAAGTGCAGAAGAGAATCAATGGATTGTTCAAGTGAGCAGAACAGTAGTAAGTGGAATTCAAACGGAGAAAGTGTGAAGTAGTGCAGCTGGGAAGGATTCACATTATGAAAGGTAGGACCCTAGAAAGCACTGAGGATCAGAACGACCTTAATACGCACATCCACAGGATGTAGCAAGGCAGATTGATTGATAGATTGTTATAAAGGTATCTCTTTTAATAGCTGAGGCATAGAGTAAAAGATAAGGAGATTATGCTGAAACTGTATAAGATGCTGATTAGGCCATAACAGGACGAGTATTTTAAATTCCTGAGTTTTGGAAAATCCTCAGTAAGCTCCCTTGTCAGATGATCTTCAGTCTGTCATATTGTCTGTTTGATAATCTCTTTCTTTTTTGAAAACTTTGAGAGATCCCTTCCCAGAGCTCTCGCCCTCGTGAGACACTGTACTTTGCTGCAGGGGGAAAGGGCCTTTGAAGGAAGAGAAATGCTTATTGTTTAATCGTGGTCAGCACATTAGAGGGTGGATGTGATTGCACTAAAATGGGTGCAGAGGAGATTCACCACGATGCTGCCTGCTTTGGTCAGTGTGAGCTATGATGGACAATTGGATAGGCTGAGGTTGTTTTCCTTGCAGCAGTGAGGGTTGAAAGGGGACCTGATGGAGGATTACAAGATGAGGAGCAAGCATGCAGATACTACAAACACATCTTTCAATTATTACAGGGCACGGTAAGGTCAGAGGTAGAGGCTAACAGGCAAATTAAGGAGAATTTTAATTTTACTCGGAGTCTGGAGCTATCTGCTTGAAAGGGAGGTTGAGCCAGAAACCCGTGACATTTGAGCAGTATTTAGATATTCATTTACATTGCCATAGCCTCCAGCTACTGCTGGAAAATGGGATTAATGCAGTCTGATCTTTGACCACCACAGAGAGAGTGGGCTGAATGGCATCCTTCAGCACTGTGTAAATGTCTGAGCCTTTGTAAACACCACTATGGTTAATAACATGTTAAACTCGCTGACTGTGAGTGTTTAACAGATGCTGTTAGTTCCAGTTTATTGCCTGATTGCTGGCTCACTCTGTCTCCATTTGATTTTAAAAATCCCTCGATTGATTGTCGTTTTCCTTTCTGCCCCAGGTGAAGTGTTGGGATCTGAATACACTGGAGTGTTCCTGGACGCAGCCTACACTTGGGGGCTTTGTGTACAGCCTGGCATTCTCTCCTGTGAATATCGGCTCCCTCGCTATAGGTGTGGGTGACAGTATGATCAGGGTGTGGGACACCCTCTCCCTCCAGCGTGCTTATGACATCAAGACTCTATGGCAAGGAATTAAATCCAAGGTCACAGCTGTAAGTACCAGGCAATTCATTGCTTTCTGTCTCTTGCCCTCCCCACTTTGCTTCCTTCCCTCTCTTTTTTAAAAACTTTTCTGTCTCGTTTGCTGGTTCTCTCTTTCCTTTCAGACAAGATTTCTATTGGCTTGGGTGACACACCATGCTCCCATGTTGATCTGTATTCCTAATTCCACTTGCTGAGAAGGTGTCCCGGTCCTGGGAGTGTTTGATGTGGACAATGTAGTGGGAGCTTTACTCTCTATCTGACCCCTTGCTGTCCCTGTCCTGGGAGTATCAGGTTTGAGATTAGACTCCATCTCTGAGGGTCAGCTTTTTTTTGTTACACAGAGTGGTTTACACGTGGAATGAGCTTCCTAAGGAAGTAGTGGGTGCAGGTACACTTACAACATTCCAAAAACATTTGGATCTGTTCATGAATAGGAAAGATTTGGAGGGATATGGGCCAGGAGCAGGCAGGTCAGACTAGTTTAGTTTGGGAATGTGGTTGGCCTGGAGTGGTTGGACGGAAAGGTCTGTTTCCGTGCTCCATGACGCTGTGTGCTTTTATTTTAAATCCTGAGTTCTGGAAAATCCTCGCTGAGCTCCCTCGGTCAGATCATCTTCAGTCCATCATATCCTGTCTGTTTGATAACCCCTTTATTTCTTGAAAACTTTGAGGAATCTATTTCAAGAGCTCTCACCCTTGTAAGCTGCTTTACTTAGTTGCAGTGGGTAAAGAGCCTTTGAAAGGAGAGAAATAGTCTTCACTTAATCCTGACCCCAAATGTGTTTCAATGGAAACAACACTGGGGAGAAACCAGTAATGCCACCATTCACCTGGAGCTGTTTGATTCGTTAGGGAAAAGACACCAAATGTTGGCCTTGCTGGTGACAGTCATATCTTGTGCTGGAATCAAAATGAATAAATGATTGTGTTAAGTGAATCTGAATAGAGACATTCAAACTGCACAAGTGTACGTTAATAGAGTCATACAGCATGGAAACAGACCCTTCGATCCAACCAGTCCATGCAGACCATAATCCCAAACTAAACGGGCGGGGGGGGGGGGGGGGGGGGGGGG